CTCTGTGTATGCTGCAGAGGTGCTGTTGTGCCTCCTGCCTAGCTCAGCTCGAAGCATCCAAGTACTTCCTGCCATTCTCACAGTCACTCAACCCTCAGCCACTCCCCTCTTCACAAACTGATAAAACCAGAGTTGGGCCCTGGGTCATGGCCTTTGCTCCGGTTAGCCATTGTCCCCACTGGACTTAGGACCCCCTTGGCTCCCCGCAACTGCAGATCTGTCTGCATCTCTTTATTCTCAGCGTGGGTTGCGCTAGAAGTGGTAGATTGAATCTACTTATTAGAATTCCAATAACTTTTCCCTGGGATTACAAATACGAACCACTCTGGACCATGACGAGGCCCGAATGGCTCCCTATAGAATTCTTTTATTGGTGGGTTCATGCTAGAAGCTTAGGGTGAGGGTTTTTCTCGGGTTCAAGATGTGACCCTTTGTTCCTACATGAAGGCCTCTCTGCACAAGACTCCTCTCACCAGAGCCCAGGCAAATGCTGCCTCCTGACCTTGGAGCTTCCAAAGCCACAGACAACGAGAACTTTTGTCTTGATGAAGTAGCTGCCTTGGGTGTTTTGTTGTCAAAATATAAAACCCACAGAACGGAGGCTTGAGCCACCTATCAGCCCTCTCCATGAACGTGGAGGCTGAGATGCAGAGTAGACATAGGACGCGATTCTCGCTTTAGAAAAGGAACCAGGCTCTGCGTAAGACAAGGAGGCAAGAGATGGGCTGTGCTGAATATGAGCAGGGTTTGCTGACTGTGAAACAGAGAGAGAGGCTGGGGCTGGGGGGGTGGGTCAAGGGTCAGGTGCACAGAGGAGGACGGATGCCCAGAGGGACATGTGAGTAACACCTAGCAAAAAAGAGAATGAGCGTGCAGCACGGGGTTTCCCCAGCCTCTTTGACGGTGGTGCTTCGGTCTGGTAGAGCTCAGCCTGCTGGGCAGGGCTGGGCCACGACCTCTTGTTCCTCGTGGTTTGGCCCATGTGTGGATTCCAGCGAGCACTCAAGCGACAGCCCTCAGGAAGCCTTTCGCTGTGAGCGGGGGCGTGGTCTCTGAATTAAGACGGTGCTGCAGAGGCTGCAGCTGGTGGGGCTGCTATAGTGGGGTGAGGGGGACCCCACAGGCACAAGTGGAGGACATGGGCTTGAGAAAACTGAGCTGAGCTACGGGTTACAGTGGCTCACACAGGGTCCTGACGGTACACTGGGAGGCTGTGGGGGGTGGGGCGCTGCTGGCTGGAGCACATGGAGACAACATGAAATGGACATCGTGCGACATCAAAAGCTGGGTGCTGTGGGACGGGGTGGATGAGGACCCACGCCAGAGAGGAGACAGGAAGCTGAGCTATTACCCTGCATCCGAGCAGGGCGCCGTGGCCCTGTGAGCAGACGCCTGGCCCTGCTCCTCGCCCCCACCCCACCCCTGGCTCCCACAGAGATACAGCAGGCTTTGGTTAGGTTCTGTGCTTTCTTGCCTACCAATCAATTATAAAATAAGAACTCACGTGTGGTAGTGCAACTTGTAATCCCAGCAACACCCTGGGAGGCTGAGACAGGAGGATCACAAATCCAAGCCCAGCCTGGGCAACTTAGCAAGTTATGAGAATATATCTCAAAATTTTAAAAGGGGCTGGGAATGTAGTTCAGCGTGAAGGCCCCGAATTCCCAAAATCATCCAAAGAAGAAGTAAGGGATGTGCCTCCCTCCAGCAGAGGGAGCTCAAGGCACGAATTAGCTGAACAGAGAGGCCACCCTAGGGCTCTAGAGGAGATGATCAGTTTGCCTGAGGTTTGCGGTGATAGGAAAAACCAGGGAGGATGGGCATCAGAAAAGGAGGACTCAGGATCGAGCCCGCTGCACATCTCATCTTCCCTGGAGGGACTGAGCCCAAAGCACTGTGAGTCCCCCGCCCCGCCTCTTCCTGTAGCTGTGGCGAGGGTCCCTGCATACAACCAAACCTGCACAGGGAATCTAAGAATTTGAGTGCATTCCAGGGCGTAGACGAGAGCTGGGGAAGGACTCACGGACAGGGCTGAGAACATCTGCTCGTGGTCAAGGTCATGGCCGGGCAAGGTCACGGCTGGAGGTCCGCGCTCCCTCTGCCCTCCAGCCCACGCTGTTACATAAACCAGCTGGCCCTGGCTCTGTGTGGGAGGAGGAAGCTCGTTGGGATGAGGGCTGCTTGTGTAACGCTACCAAGGACAGGCTCGGCTGCCAAAGCGAATCATGTGAGCAACCTCTGTGTAATAAATTATTTAACCACACAACTTGCACTAGCATCTGATCCTCTTCGACTCCTCCGGGGCCCCGCTCCTCCCCTCACAGCATGTCCAGCCCTGAGCGGAGCGAAGGCCACGCTTTCCACAGCTTGCTCCAGACCCTGGTGCCAACGGCGCCCCCTACCTGTGTCCCTCCTGGTGGCACCTGGCACTTCTGATGCTAAATCTTAAATGACTACGCGTTCACACATCAAGGTCTCTGGCCCTTTCCAAAGTACTCTCAGAGACAGTCTCACCTATTCCTCCTACAGAATTAACTATATATACATTTGTGTGTACACACTCATTTGTAATTTTTCATCAAATCAACAAGATTCCTCTAAATCTTATCTGTAAAACTGAATGCACCCAAATTATTAATTTCCCTTTATACTTTCTTTCCTCCCCCCGGGCCATTTTTCTGCTCACCCTGTACTGTGTGAGCCCGCTTGTCTCTTCTCACTACAGCCCACCTTGTCCTAAGTCCTGAGAGCACAGGGGATGCTCCGTTCTGCGAAGCTCTCATCTGCCCGAGTTTTCCGTGGCTGGGCCTGGACCCGCCTGGGTTTCCTTTCTGGCACCTTCATCCGTCTTTTCGCCACGCCCCCGCGCAGGGGCTTTCTTCTGCCCACCGTGAATAGCATCCCTCTGAAACATATGTGCTCTACCCATCGGTGTACGGCTCTGAGAAGTGCGCCTGGCCCGCCACGCTGAATGCATCAACCCAAGAGCCAGGCCATCTTGTCTTCACTTGGGAGTCCTTTCCATCTTGGAAGGAGAGACACTTAGGGTACTGTGGGTTACCGCTCCTGCACACTCCTCTGCACTGCCCACACCCCATTCCCAGCTGCCCTTTACGAAAGGGCAAAGAAAGGCTGGGATTGAGCCTGGCCCTAAACTGAGAACTCGGTTGGAGAGAAAATATCATCTCCCCAGCCAGCTGAGGGAGGCGAATGAGCCCATTCTGGACAAATTAGAAACTTGATGAGACCCTGTCTCAAAAATAAAAAGGGACTGAGGATGTAGCTCAGCGTGAAGGCCCTAGGCTCCATCCCCAGCCCCTCTCCCACCCACCTCACCCCCAAAATAAACAAAGACCCTGTCTCTGCCTTGCAGAGAGGGTAATGGCTTTCTGAAAGCAGCTCTACCCCCATCTCAGCTGTAGGAGAAGGAATCTGCTTTTCTGTGCAGGACACGCATGCCAGCGAATGGCGCTTCTGGCCCAGGCCAAGGTGAGCAGGCGCTGCCTGGAGGCTAAGCTGCTTCTCACGTTTTCTACACGCCCTGAAATGTCTGGAGTCAACCACACCGGCGAAGTGACACAGCTGGCCCCCTGCTCAGCCACAGGGCACAGCTGGCCCGCCCCCTTTCTAGAGCTGCATCCAGGGTGCCTCTCGCCCCAGCATCAGGGAGATAGATGTTCCCAACCACAGCCTGGCCGCCCCTCCAGGGCTGCGTTGGTCTCAGAGCCCTGCCTACCCTGCTCGGAGGCCTAAGTCCACTTGCAGCGCCCACTGGAGCCTCTCTGTAAAGCTGACTCCTGGCTGCTGTGCTGTCACTGGGCAGCTCAGTGCCAGGGGTCGGGCAGAAGTCGGCGGACATGTGGGCTGTGCCCCAGGCCCATCTGGGGGACGAATGAAGTCCCCCAGAACAGAGGCTGTGGGTCTGGGGTCTCTGTTTTATCTCTTGTTGCTTGTCCCTTACACACTGGGGTGAGACTCCCTGCTCCCCTCTCTTGGACAGGTTCGATTTCACTGGGTCACAGGAGGCCCCAGGACTTTGCCCCAGAGACGAGAAGCAGGATCCGCTGGATTTCTTCTGAAGGCCGCACTTCTCGCTGTTCCCTCGGGTCACTGTCAATGCTCTCGCAGGCCGCTCCGGAGCACTCAGAGCTCCTTAACAAGCTCACAGGCTCAGGGCATTGTGCGCTAACTCACAGGGGCCTTAACTTCTTTTTCTCACCTTATTTTCCTTTCACACAAACGCTTTGTAAACATTCTAGTATCATGTATGTATTTGTGTAAGTCACCTCATAACCTGCTCAGACAGAAAACAAAAAGGGAAAGGGGTGGGGTTGCAGGCAGCTCAGTGGTAGAGCACTTGCCTAGCATGCGCCAGGCCCTGGGTTTCCCAGCCATGAAAGGGGGCTGGGCAGAGGAGAAAGGACAGAAAAAATGGCTTCAACTATGTAATGAGCCCAAGGAGTCCAAATCACAGACACTCTTCATGTACTCTTTTCCAAGCCAAGGGTACTGGTGTCAGTTAAGTGGGTGACTGTGGAAACCCAGCACCCAGCACCCAGGCTGCTGGTGGGCTTTACGTCCTTCCTGGTTTCCTGCCAGGTCCTCCGTGGAGGCACGTCAACACGCCTTCATCCTTTATCTTCCAGGCACCCAGGCACCTTGAGGATTCCGCAGGGCAAACCAGCTGCAGAGCCCACGGGGAGGCCGCACTCACCCCGTGAGATCCCACCCGAGTCGCATTCAAATTTGACCTCTGGGCTGAAGTCTACAGTTACGGCACGCAGGTACCCCACGTACGCCACAGGCTGTGGGTTTGCTCAGACTAAGATTTCACCCTGTGGCCTGGACACAGCAACCTGTAAGATGCAGTGGAAAGCTCTTGAATCTGGACAGCCTCCAACACAAAGTGAAGCCGGGCCCTCCCGTGACCCATTCTGGAGGGGAGACGTTTCTGGAGACCAAGCGGCCACCCACTGGACATCCCAACACAGACACAGCCCTGAAACAACCACAGTTTGCTTTATTAGGCGGTCCATGGTAATATAACAGAGTTCTTAAGGAATAATAAACACGAGACTGGTTGTTTTACCATAATTATTTTGCCATTAAGACAGTGAGTGGTTACAAAAACAAAAAAAAACGAAAAACAAAAGTACTCCTCTGGTTACACACATGATCAGCTTTAGCACTGAAAGGTCCTCCACTCATGAGTCACAATCACAATTTCAAGGATTAGAAGCCATCTAGTATTAAGTCCTACACTGTTTTAGAGCATCAAGTCACTGCAGTTACTCAGTTCTGAGACACTGTCCATTTATTTTAGCATTTACATATGACATTCATTAACAGATACACAAAGCAAGCCAACAGGTAAACATGCTTACACAGCCTGTGGGAATCTTCAGGTTTTACATTGTGGTTTGTTTTTTTTTTTTTGTTTTGTTTCGTTTTGTAAAGAAAATAACCAAAACAACCAAAATTACCATGACCCGGCACAGGAAAGACAGGAAGACAAGGGAATACCGCAGAGCTGCGTGTGTTTCTCAGAATTGAAACAAAAATTTCTTTTCCAACTTGTTCCAATTTCCTCTAAGTATAGGTGAGAAAAAAAAGCAAATATATTAAGTCAACCAATTCCTTTTAAAAAAAAAAAAGTGCAATTTACCTTTAAAACAACAAATAAACAACAATAAACCAAAACCCTGACCATAAACCCCAAAGGCAAAAACACGTGGAGACACAAGCATCGTGACAGCAATGACCTACTTTTTGATGTTTCGCTTTACAAAGCCCAATTTGGTTCCATAAAGGCCTGCAAACCTAACATTGCTCACAAGGCCCAGTAAACGTGTCTGGAAAGAAGTATGACACGGTCAGCAGGACAGAAAGGAGCTAGCTAGCACAAAGGGGTCGCTGAAGCAGGGAGAGGAAGGGGTGCAGGTGCGAGGTCGCCTGTCGTCTCCAAGGGGGCCGCAGTCTCCACGTGTAAGATTTTCTCCCCGATCCATGGTTCATAAGACAGATTTCTTCCCTTCTCTTGCAAAGTAAAATGGACTTTCAGCCAAATTTCCCAAGGGATTTCTGAGCTTCTAAGGCCCCCTTTCACTGCATTATCACTTGTGAAATAATTGAGATTAAAAATACGGTATTTTCCCCAAAGTAAGAAACCTCCATGTGTTCTAGAACCCGAAAGACCCTTCATGGGGCAAAAGCGGGCCCTGGGGGCCAGACTGCTACAGGCATTGCCCCGAGGAGCTGGGAGGCGGCCGGAGCCTGGCTGCCCGCTGGGTACTGGGCTGGTTCACAGGTCTGACTGTGCCTTGCACCAGTGAGCGGCATGCTGTGAAACACGCAACGGTCTGCACCTCACCCTCATGATCCCACACCACGTGACCCCCTCGGCCCCAAGGCGTGGTGTGGGCGAGAACCAGCCATCCCTGCACCTGGCAAGAGACTCAAACTCACACGCACCAACTTGTGGCTATGGGCGGGTAGCACCAGTCCTACAGGGACCAGGAGGACACAGGACTATGGACACCAGGCCAACGGGTGAGTCCGTCCAGGCGGGTTCTGACTACAGAGACACGGGACACCTAGTGATCAGAAAAGGCAGTGGGAGAAGGAGGGGAAAACCCAGTCTCAGGGACGAGGGCCAGAGGAAACACGAAGCAAGACACAGGCATCTGAAATATTCATGAACAAAAAAGCTAGAGCGAGCACGAAAGGGTGCGGAAACATGGCAAGGAGAATCCTCAAAAGATCTAATCTGCCGCAAAAATCTAGGCCAAGAGAGAAAACCTGGCCTTTCTCAACAGATGACCCAGAAGCCCGCAGAAGAACAAAGTGGACCCTTTGGAGCTGCTCAGGAGGGACAAAACGAGTTTGCCAACCATCCGGAAAGAGCGCGGTGGTTACATAACTGCATCATTAGGGTGTCCAGTTCAAACCCTGTGCTATTAATATTGAATCACTTTCCAATTTAGTCTTTAAAAAGAAAACAACTCTCTCCCACATAACCCCTCCCTAGTCCCACACAAAAGAAACCAAAACAAAAACAAGGGAAAACAGCCTTTTTAAAATATTTAAAAAGAAAAGACCAAAAGGCAGCTCAGGGCAATTCACTGTATCTTCCCCATGACAAGGAAGATGCGGAGGCAGAGGGCAGGATGAGGAGCCCCCGGGGACCTGCTCTGTGGCACATGTCTCGTGTTGGACGCAGCTCCGTGTAGAGTGGGTGCTAGGCTTGGGTGTGGTGCTTATGGGTGATGGGGGAGTGAGTGAGCGAACTCAGTAACTCCAGGTGAGAGGCAGAGAGTGGGGCCCGAGGGGGAGCCCCGAGAACTGGCTGCCCACAGCAACTATCACAGGCTCTTAAAAACGAAAGAAGAATTAGAAGAAGAAGGAAGGAAGTCTCAGAATGTCCTCAGGTGTTCCATCCCCCAAGGCCCAGTGCAGTGGGCCCAGGAGCTCTAGCCCAGGCTGGTGATGTTGGCACGGCCACCAGGGGGCGCCACGATGCGCTGGGTGGTGCGGCGAGGAATGTTGTCATCAATCTGGGCGCCTGGAGAGGAAGAAAGGAGAGGACAGGAGAGAGGTGAGGACGCACAGCTTGCCTCCAAGCCACGCAGCTCAGGAGAAGAAGGGCCAGGCACATGCCTGGCCCTTTTCTCAGAAGCTCACGAAACATTCAAACTAGGGAAACGCAATGGGCTGTGCTTGCCCAGGAACCACATGTGGTAGATGCAGTCCCTCGTGCTGGTGGGCTCTACAACCTGCTAAGTACAACTATTGATAAAAACTGCATTTCACAGGCTGTGGATGTAGCTCAGTGGGAGAGCACCTGCCTAGCATGTGCAAGGCCCTGGGTTCAATTCTCAGTACTGCCAAAAAGCAAACAAGAGCCCCTACATTTCAGGCTATATCCAGTCTCCATTTCTATTAGTCAAACAACGTGCAGCCCTTCTGAAGGTAAGTCTCCTATGACATTCAGTTCCCCTAACCCTCCAAGGATGACAAAAAGTAGAAGCAACCTCGGATGAGCACCGTAACCCGAGCATCCAAAATGGTTCAAAATTTTAAACTTTGTGAGCACCCAAATTCCACAGCTGACCTCATGGGACAGGGTCACAATCAAAATATAGTTGTACTGAAGATACTGTATAAAACACCATCAGTCTAGGTGTATAAGGTATGCATGAAACAAATAAATTCTGTGTTTAGACTTGGGTTCTATCCAAGATATTTCATTATGCATAGGCAAATATTCCATCATCTGTAAAAATCCAAAATCTAACACATTTCTGCCTCCAAGCATTTTCGAAAAGGGGCCCCTGCAACCTGAACCTTCTATCGGAACTGTCCACAGAGAGATGAGAGTGTAGATATCATGGTGACCATGTCACTTGATAAGAAAATTAAAGCTCAGTCTTATTACTCTTCTTGAAAATGGGTAACCCAAAAATGGCACATACGGTACCTCGCTAAAAACCAGTGGATCTGATAAGATGAAAAATCCACCTGATGAGCATTCTTTAACAAGTCACAGATCCTGAGTACCTACCTGTGATTAAGGGGAACCGGGGGAACAGAACAGAGCTCGGCATGGCCCAAGGGAGACGGAAAGGAAGGGAAAGGAGGGAAAGGAAACTGGGACCACTTCCTCTCCCAGGGAAACGTCACCTGTCTTATCAAGCAAATAGCTAAGTTACCAATGGCTGTGTTTTAAGCATTTCACAGATATCAGATCTCTCCGTCCTCCCAACAGCCTGACAGGGAGCCCGGCAGGCAGCCACAACTATAAAATTCGTCGTGCAGATGAGAAGAGGGGGACACAGCCACGCATGGCTCCAAGGTCAGGGGGTGGACATCCCACCCCCACCGTGGGACGCCTAAACACCCTTCTTGTTGGTGGACGTAACATGAGAACACCGCCCTCACTGTCGATGGGGTACTGTACCCGGGATGAGCATCGTGGCGTGGACGCGGTTGATACAAACTGATCTCAAGGGTCTGGGACCCAGCTGGTCGCCTGCTGTAAGGACACGCGTCCATTGATAGGAGTTCCCACCCCTTCCCTCGGCCCACTCACCAGACAAGCTGAATCCAGACTGGTGCAGGTTCCGCACAGGCGGGGCCTGCTGCTTGGCAGGGGACGTCTTCGCCGAGGAGGCTGGAGTGACCGTCTTGGGCGTCACGGACACCTCGCACACGGGTCCGTCGTACAGGCCACGAGGGACCCCTCTCAACTCCGCCAGCTGCAACACACAAGCACCCCTGCTAAGGCCACAGCCCGGGAAGAACATCGTGCTGGGGGACACGTCGCCCTGTGGCTTGTGGGGACAGCGGGCTCTCCTAGTCACCAGGTATGACAGAGACACAGGGCAGGGTGGCCAGGCCCAGCTCCCCAGAATGTGGTCACTGATACTGGGTTTTCTACAAGAGCTAACACTGGTTATGATTTGCCCCCCAAAGTCCTTCTACTTTAGATCCTGTCAGAATCACCCAGACCTGCTGTGAGGAAGTTCCGGGGCCAGGTTCAAGCTCTGCCCCAAACTTCCCTGCCAGTCTCATTCTTCCTGTGATTTCCTTACAGCTCCATCACTTCTTTGTCCCAGTGGCCTGGTGGTTGGGGACTGTCCGCCACACCGTGAGTACATTGTACATTTCCCGTGTTTATGACATTCTCTCTACCTAGTTTATTTAGCTCCCTTTTTTGACTTGACCATCTCCTACTTAACCTTTAAAACCCAACTCAAAATGCCCTCGCCCATGACCCTTCCTCCATAACTCCTCAGCAGTGGTTCCCTCTCCTAACCCTCACCCTATACTCTCACCCGAGCACCTACTTCATTCTTACTTTGTCCTGGCTGGCTCTGGATATCCCTGAGTCCTCCAGCAGTCCTTTAAGTTCCAGGAATGAAAAGAGCAGGTTCTTCTCTCTCTCTAGCCAGCCCCTATACAGAGCTCATGATTCTGACTCAATGTGATTATGAGCAAATGTTTGTGGAATTGAACTCAACACATGAATTCAAAAACCCTGAGAACAAAGCCACTCACCCTGCTCCTTGCCTTGATACGCTTGTAAACGAAGTCAGGGAACGGCTTCCGGGGGATGTAGCGCCCAGAGCCCTCGGTGACGTGCAGGGTGCCGTCCTCCAGGACGATCTTGCCCTGGCTGATGACCACCAGCGGGGAGCCGCGGCACTCCATGCCTTCGAAGATGTTGTACTCGAGCGCCTGGAGGGGACCCAACACGGTCAGCTTCGAAGTGGGCGCCTGATCGCTATGCAGTACCCACTGCCCAGCTCCAGGGACAGGGTGCCCGCCCCCATCACCCCGGCCACTTCCAGCCCTCCCTCCCCTGCCTTAACCCTGGAACCATCTTCCCTAAGCTCCAAGTTTAGAAGAAAACTAAGTGCAGGGAGGAAAGGTGTGCGGAGATTGTGTCTTTGCAAATGCTACACAAATGTCAAGAGAACGACTTCTCTTCTGGGCAGCCACTGTCCCCACCAAGCTGAGCACACAGCAGGCTGGGTACCCGGGAGCAGGACGCGGTCTTCACGTCAAGCTACAGCCCCAGCCTGTTCTGGTTTTTTGTTTGTTTGTTTTACATTTTGAGAGGTCTCTCTAAATTGCCCAGGCTGGCCCCACATAAGTTATCCTCCTGCCTCTGTTTTCCAGAGGGCTGAAGTTACAGAAATTTGCCACCGTGCCCGCTGTGGTCAACATTCTTAGGGTCACCTGAAGGAGAAACCGGGCAGTGGCACTGCTGTGCAAAGGTCTGGATGGCACAATGGAGGATGGGATCTAACCTTCCAGAACATTCACTCCTTCACATTCCCTCTCCGCCATCCACACGGAGGACCCAGGTCCAAGCGCCCAGCCTGGTGGTCTGTATTCCGTCATGATGCCCTTCTCTTTACCTCTGGGGAAGGGGCCTCATGAGGGAGGGCAGCATTTTATCCCCAACCTCAACCAAGGAAGTCGCTGCAGTCTGGCAGGGAATAGCCTGAACAATTTCAGGTTCTAATTCTGGCCCAACCGCAAAATCGCTATGTAACATTAGACTGGTCACTTAAGCTCTCTACACCTCCGTTATTTATCTGCCCACTTGGGGTAATAATACCAGTCCCTTTATGGGAAGCTCAAATGACACGCGGAGGGGGATGCGAAGTTGGATGCATCTGAACAAACGGGTTCACCACAAGGACATTCTGGGGACAACCCAAGCACGGTGTGCTCAGTCGTAAGTGGGTGCAGCCACTAGCCACCCTGCCAGCAGGGAAGAAGCGAGAAGGCTCTAAATATGGAGCAGAGCACTTTTCCGAGAAGCCGCCACCACCCTGGTACCCACAGGTGCCACAGAAGCTGGACGAGAGGCCAGTGCGTCACAGCCCAAGTCCCCCTGTCCAAGTGAGATGGATCTGGGGGCTGGGGATTTAGCTCAGCGGCACAGCGCCTGCCTGGCAAGCGCGAGGTCGTCAGTTCGATTCCCAGTACTGGGAAAAAAAACAAAAACAAAAAAAACAAAAAACTTGGGGCTGGGGATTTAGCTCAGCGGCACAGCGCCTGCCTGGCAAGCGCAAGGTCATGAGTTCGATCCCTGGTACTGGAAAAAACAAACAAACAAAAAAAAAGAGATGGGATCTGGACCAAGCAAAGAGCCCAGTTCTGTTGTGCAGAGATGCCAGAAGCTGCCCGTGCTCCTGTGGCACTTGGGTGGCATCTGTCCTTGCTGTTCCAGGGTAGTCTGGAATCAAATGGTCCTTGGTGGCATCTGTCCTTGCTGTTCCATGGTAGTCTGGAATCTGCCTGACAGAGCTATCTTTCTACTTTTAATTTCAATCCGAACATCCTCCCCATTCATTAAGAACTCGCTTCAAGATTCAAGTAAAGTCAGGACACAAAACACTTCCGCCCAAGGCCCTCTGCTTCTCCAGTGGTCTCCCCTGGTCCATGGTTTTTCAGTTTTATAGGGACATAATTTTTCTGTGAGGAATCGACGGTATCTGCCCCTTCTTTAATCATCGGACACCCAAAAATCTTGCTGAGCCCTTCAATCTCAGCAGAGGGGCCTGAAACACTAACAAGTCTCTGCACTCTAAGCTCTCGGGCCCAGACCAAGAGGCAAGAGCAGACAGACCTTAAACCAAGAGCAAGTGGCTGAGGGTATTCTTCTATTTGGGGAGAAGTCAAAGTTTATCAGTTCCTTTAGCACAGTCAGGGAGGGCAGCTGCCATTCAAGTTTCTGGACATGAGAAAACATGGCATATAAAAATGGAAGTGCCCCGTGGGCATCTCAGGACTGCACATCTGACAGCTTTATTTAGGTTGTGGTATAACTGGGATCCAAAATGTCCCGAGAAAGGCCTTTTGTACTGAAGACTTCAGGGCTGCTGGGCTGCTGGGAAGTGACTGGATCATGAGGACTCTCACTTCATCAAAAGGATTAATCATATGCTGATGGCATTATTAAGATGGGATGGAAACAGGAGGTAGGATCCAGTGAAGAGAGTGGATCATAAGGATGGGACCCTGGGGACTACATATGGTCCCTGGCCTCCTCCTCCTCCTCCTCTGACTCTTTTCCTTTCTCTCTCTGTCTCCTGGCTGCTGGGATGTGAGCAGGTTTCTTGTACCACACGGCGTCCTACCTTGCCGTAAGAAGAAAGAGTGGTGTCTGCTGACCATGAACTGGAACCTCTGAACTCGTGAGCCACAATAAAGCACTCTCCTTTTAGCTGATTTACCTCAAGTATTCTGTGACAGTGACAGAAAACTAACATAGATCCCTTGATCAAGTACCACCACGAAACCATAAAAATGGAATGTGACTGGATTCTAGAAGCTTCTGACATCTCAGTGTTATTTTGGGGACTTTGAACGTCTAAGGACAAGGAGGCCATGATCCTACAACAGATCAGAGTAACAGTCTTACTGACCTCACTAAAGAAGTGAAAGAACTGTTTCTCTTCTCAGCAAACTGCATGTTATAACCAAGGGAGTTCACTCCCATCCCAGCAAGGCCTCTTTAGAAGCTCTGGGTGGGACTCTCCCTCCCTCTGTTCTCTCGGTGACAGTAATTTGCATGGACCAAGTCTGCATGGTTAGCCTTACGCTGTTGTGTGTCTTGGCTGAGATGGTCTTCATGCTGTCAGGGTCCCAGATGACCAGGTCTGCGTCAGATCCCACAGCAATGCGGCCTTTCCGCGGGTAAAGGTTGAAGACTTTGGCTGCATTAGTGCTGGTCACAGCCACGAACTGGTTCTCATCCATCTTCCCAGTGACCTGAAGAATACACATACACGCACACACGCGCACACACACACACACACACACACACACACACAAAGGGTCACAAAGTCAAAAGGTAGAACACTATTTAGCAATACAAAGGCACACACTTTTATTCACACAATTTAAATGGCCCCTTCAGGGGGCTGGGGATTTAGCTCAGCGGCAAAGCGCCTGCTTGGCAAGCACAAGGTCATGAGTTCGGTTCCTGGTACCGGAGAAAAACCAAAAAAAAAATAAAATAAAATAAAATAAAATAAATGGCCCCTTCAATAAAATACAGGCACAAAACCTACTGCTCTAGTCTAGTCAGCCTACAAGTCTCAATCTCCGACTTGTGTCCCATGTACGGTACACAGTTATACGGCACGAGGTATACAGTAGGGGCCAATTATCTTTCCTCAAAATTCAGTAGAACAACAGGCAAAGGAAACAAGCGTGCATTAAGAGAGGAAAACCCCAGTATTGCCAAAAAAAGAGGGAGAAAAAGATGCAAATGTCCAGGAGGCATTTGAAAAACATAATCATTCTCAGCAGCAGTTTAAAAATGAGACTCAGCATTTGCTTAGCGATTCAGCAATTGCTTGTTTTGGTGTTCATAATAATAAAACTTGTTTGACCTGAAGAAGCTGGGAATGTCATACACTGTTGGTGGCACAGGAAGTGATGTGATCTTTCTGGAAGGAGCTTTAACAATATATAGTAACACCCTTAAAAATATACATACACCTTTGACTCAGCAATGCTACTTCTAGAAATTTCTCCTACAAATGTAAGTAGGAATGTGTCCAGGGATGTGTCTACAGGGATGCTCGTCCCAGCAAAAAGGTTAGAAACAACAGGATTACAGATGAATTACTGTTGAACACTGGGAAGGAATCATCTAGAAACTTTTTCATGATATATTCTTTTTTTAAAAAAAACAGGCCATAGGCTGGGGATTTAGCTGAGCGGCACAGCGCCTGCCTGGCAAGTATTAGGTTGTGAGTTTGATTCCTGGTACCAAACAAAAAAGAAGCCAGAAAAAAAAACAGCCCACAAAATAGTATGTATAATGCTAATGTTATTTACAATCGCTCACACCATATGCATTTACACATTTGGACATGAGCAAAAAATGACAAGACAGTCACCAAAATATACATTATAGCCATTAGAGTTATATCTGAAATAAGTGATTTTATTTATATAATCTAAAATGATTAAAAAACAGGAAACCAGTTGTTATATATTAAAATGAAAAGGCCAAAAGGTCAGGGTCTCTTTCAACTGAGCTGATCAGAAGCCTGTGTTGGGTAGACGTGCAAAGCCCAGATGACCCTCAAAGATGCTCTTGAAGAAATGGACTCCCATCTCCCAGTTAACTGAGGAAGACACCAGGTGGCTAGGGAAACTTTTTCCTCACTGACACAGGAGTTATACAGGGTATGATCACAATATATGGTGAATGTTCAATTTTTTTAACTTATTAGAGTGAATCCCTCTCAAAATCTTCCCCCTTGCTTTGAACACACTTATCCCTTCATTCTTGCCACTTTCTGAAACAAATCTGGAAGTCCTCTTTCATGAGTATCCTTTTTTTGGATTGCCATGGCTGCCTTGATATCCTAAATCCTTTCAAAAATGTTTACCTTTCATGGTCATGTTGACTTTAGGGAAGAACAAGAAGTCACACAATGCCAAATCCAGTGGATGATTTGGATGAGGGCACACTGTAATGTTTTCATCTGACAGAAATTGCAATAAATGTTTTGCATCAATTCAGGACACAGAAGCAACCATGACAGTCCAACTAAAGACACTGATGAAAGCGCACTTCCAGAACTGCTTCAGACAGCAGCAAGAACTACGGGATAAGTGTGTCCGAAGCAAGAGGGAGTATTTGAGAAGGATTAGTGTCAATGTGCTTTCACTGTAATAATTTTAATTTAGATATTCATCCCATGTTCTGACCATACCTCATACTGAAGTCTCTGTAGATGATAATGATGTTATGTGTAATATTTAGGAGAAAAGGACCTATTAGGAGTGGTTGTGGGTTTCCAATCCTAAGAAACCCTATCACACAAGTGATAACTTCTAGACTGTTCTTCACTGGCATTTGCAGGCCAGCATGAGCCCCCGACCACAGAGGAGGAGGAAGGTAGAGACCGAGGCCAGTGCTCCTTACCACAGCCTTATCCCAGATGACAGACATCCGCTCCTCAGTGCCATTGGTGCCCTCGGGAATCAGAGTGAAGTTGTCCTTTCCCACAGCCTTCTGGGCAGTGTTGAAGGTACAGTGGGCACTCCCAGTGACCTGGAGGTCTCCACTGGAAGGAAACACACAACGTGCTGCTGTAGCTTCATTATCATGCTATATGCCTCCATCTGTTCTGTGAGGTATTTGGAGGGTGACATCACACCAGTGATAGTGGGGTGGGGTCCTTTTGACCCCTTATTCACCCCCTTTGGTTGACTGTCATCATGGCCCAGGTTGATGATGACAGAAAGATAATTCCTTGCTCTTGTTTAGCGATCCCAGTTTGGTGAACAAGGATCTATTTTCAACCCTGCCCTTGGCCACCATGTTTCACGTACCAGGTCAGAGGAGGCTGAGAATGAAAAGTGTGAACAGGCTGCCAGGACTCACCACGACAGCAAGGAGTTCAGGAAGTCTGGAGTAGTTGGATCGGGGCTCAGGGGTGGGGAGGTGACGAAGGCAGCAGCCTTGGCCCAGTTCTTGCTCCAGTAGTGGGAGCCGTCGGTCCCCAGGCTGGCGGTGATGGGCTCACCATACACCACAGTTCCTGGCAACCAGAACACAGCAGGCTCAGTCTGACGCCCTGAGGAAGGAGCCCGGGCTTCCCGGGAGGGATTCCTTGTCCGGGAGCAGTCACTTCCCTGGGACGAGGCACAGCTTTGCCTCACAGGCAAGGAGACCGATGTGGTGAGGTCAAGCTCCCCAGCCGGAAGGCCGACACCGAGCATGTGCACCAAGGTTTCCCTGTCCCTTTCTCCTGGGAGTTGACACACCTCCCTCTAGGTCCCAAACACCTTCAGGCTTCTGCCTCCTGGCTCCTGATCTCCAACTTCAGTAAAAATCTCCAGCTCAGACAGCTTCCAAGCACCCAGTCCCAAGCACCACCTAGATGCCTCTTTCGCAGTGATCAATGGACTTGACCATACTATTGAGCACATGCCCTCCCTGCTCACATTCAGCAGACCTTCCTGCCGGTCTCCTCCTGGCTAAAAGCCAATGAGAGGAAATCTTAAGGGGCATCACCAGGCCGGGAGTGATGGTACACATCCATAATTCCAGCACTCAGGAGGCTGAGGTAGGAGGGTCAATGTTAGTTCAAGGCCAGCCTGAGCTACAAAGTGAATTCAAGACCATTCTGAACTGCATAGTGAAACCCTGTCTCAAAAAGACCAACAACAAAAAAAAAAATCAGGGCACATCACCTAGCTTTCAGATCAAACACAGCCCTCCAGATCTGCCCACGGGACGCCTGGTTCCCTGCATTCCCCTGTGAAGGGAGTCATCAAGACACACATCATTTCCACAGGAGACGCTGTTAATGTGAGACACAACAACCTTGTGCGGTCACTGGAATTTCAGTTTCTAGAAATCTCGACTAACTTATTGCAGGTGTCTAAGAAAGAATGCAGCTCCCTGATGCCTGGATCACATCCTCTTCTCTGTCCATCCCGAGAAAGCCAGAAAGTTGAGAACCATTTATATCCACTGAACGCCAATGCTTTCGTTTTTTAAATCACTCATCCCATTCCTCCCAGCTCATTCCAGCAGAGCCTCCCAGCTGGAATTCAGGCTTGTGAGGACTCCCAACACCTCCCGCACCTCCCCATCCACACTGCAGGTCACTCCTAGAGTTATCTCCACGGAAACAGAACCTTTTCATGTCATTCTCCTGCGTAAGAACCCAAGGAGCCCTTCTGCCTTCAAGGATTTTAAAACGAAGAAACAAACCTCCTCACTGAAATGGTCACTGCTCTCGCTCTCCAAAGCGGATCTGCTCTAACATCACACAAAGTTCAACGCAGACATCGCACCATCTGTCTGAGAACCTGTCTTCCACTCCAGTAATCACCCAGTGTTGAATTTATTTCACTCTCTACTTCATGATAATACCTTGAAGATCAATCATCTGCTTTCATACAGTGCCCAGTCAATAAATGCATGTTAAATTGATTAAATGATCTCATAATTTATTAAAGGCACCAGAGCTGGAATTAGATCTCAGGTCAGCAAATTCACCTCCCCCGGCCTCCTCAGACCCTGCCGCAGGGCTGACCCCCACTCCATGGCACCAGCTGAGCTTCCCTCTTCAAACACAGGTCCCTTGTGGCCAGATAGGTCTCAGTCAGGAATGTGCTTCGCTTACTCACTACAGCCTTTTCAAAGCCTTATCACTTGATAATACCCCACGACACCCTCTCTGCCTTCCTCTCTGGGAGCTGGCTCCACAGAGCTGTACCCTCCTGCCTCAGGAATGCCACAAAGGAGCCTCTATGCACTGTTCAGCCAGGGAGTGTTAGAGGCCAGACAGGCAGCCCACTGCAGGCCCTCAGGGACAGACCCCAGACAGGAGGGTGGGCTCCAGAGCCCAGACGAGCCTGACCAGAAGGAAGCACCCAGGAAGAAAAGGGCCAACGCTCAGAATGTCTGAAAGGGACCCATGGGTTCCTGACCTCCTCAAGGCCTGCCCACTGGATGACTGCACGGGCCACTCCAGCTCGCCGGAAGTGGAAAACACCACCTAACGAGCAGGCTTTGTTGCTGCCAAAGCCCTTTATGAGACGCAAAGGGCCGCAAGGGCACAGGGAGTGGTGGTTCTCACGGGCTTGCTGGCGCCCAGTCTTGGGATGGAGCAGCCAACAGGCCTGGTTAGGTCTCACTCTCCCAACCCAGCCAGGGCTGAGGTCCTGCTCAGAAGTGAGGTTCAGGAAACTCTGAGAAAAAGCATCTAAAACGCTGCAGGTTTCCCAGCTTTTCTCCATGAAAAAGTTCATGAGAGCAAAGCTGCTTGGAGGAAAAAAAAGAAGAACTGCTTGATGGTCTGTGAAAATCTGTGGACAAGTGTCCACGTTTCCCGGAGTCCTCACGTAACTGGCAATCTCTTGCCAAATCTGCTTCCCAGTCCTTTGGAACCCAGAATCCAAGGAAGGGCCAGTGCTGGGGAGAAATGGGACATTTAGATCCAGAATATCCCCCGAAAGTCTCACATGTTCAGAGGTGGGGCTTTTGGAAGGTGGCTAGATCATGGGACGCTATATTCATCAGTGCATTCACCCATTCACGAGTTCATGGCTAAATGTGTTGTTCCGAGGTGGGGCCTGGTTAGAGGGGATCACTGGGGTGTGACCTGGGAGGGTGTGTTCTTCCCCTCCCTTCTCTCTCTGCTTCTGGCTACCACGATGTGAGCAGCTCTCCTCCACCAGGCCTTCCCACCGTGTCACTTCTGCCTTGGAGCCAGCTGGCCATGGACTGAACCCTCTGGAAACTTGAGCCAAACAAGCCTCTTCTCCTTAAATTGTGGATATTAAATATTTTGTCCAAGCAACAGCAAAGTGACTAAGACGAAGAGCTGCACTTCTCCTTCAAAGCTTGACTCAGAGCGGGGTGGCAGGTGGTGACAAGAGCCTGGACGCCCTTCCTCTGTGCGGAGGAATACGGCCCTCAAGGAAGAAAGAACTCGACTTTCAGCTTCTGGCAAATCCAGAAATGGGTCAGGGCTTCCAAGACTCCTGCAGACCAGAACCTGCCTCCTTAGACCAAGGATGAACAAGCACCCATGGCTCATGTCCAAGTCAGGACAGGGGAAGGAAGGGACAGGAGAGGTGGGCGCAAGGAGGAGGGGGTCAGCTTGCAGCTCATTTCTTTGCCCTGTGTGAACTCCCTGATGGATTCCGACTTCCTCATTGTGTCTTGACTTTATTTCTGCTCTTCAGGCCCTAAAAGCAGGGCAGGCATTCACCATCACATCCAAGGCCTCTCCCTCCAGGGAGCATGGCTCCACCCATCACCAGTGGCCCGGTTCCCCTCCCCGGGGCTTCTGTCCCCGTTCTGTAAACACCAAGTACGAGGGAGCCCAGGCAGGCCACAGACATCAGGGAGCTGCGTGCCAGAAATAATTACCACGAATAATAATAATAAACCACGGAATGGCTTAATTGGCCTTTCTGCACTTCTCTAAACACAATGCTGACGCTTTCTTGGCGGCCGTAGAGCTGCGTGACTTTCCTCTCCAGGGAAAGTCTCAACTTCATGAAGGCTGCAACCCCACACCAGCCACTGGCAGGCTTGCCAGCAAAGCCGGGAAATGCAGGGGCCTGGCGGGTGATGTTTATTCACAGCAGCCGGGGGCTCAAGTGCATTCACAAAGAATAATGCAAGGCAGGGGCTGAGAAATGTCTGACAGTCAGTCACTTCCCATGAACGAACGGCAGAGGACCAAGCCAAAGTAGAAACAACAGAAAATCCTCTAAATGCAGCTCAAAGTGCAGCCAAAAAAGCAGAGTGGAAAACCAGTGGGGACGGACAGAAACACACACACACATACACACACACACACACATGCACACACACATGCATACACAAACACATACACACACACACATTGCCCTCTCTTTCAGAGAATCCACGCCTCAGTGGATCGGAACACACACACACACACACACACACACACACTCTGCACTCTCTCTTTCAGAGAACGCACGCCTCAGTCCCCCGGCCTGAGCACCATGCTGTCACGCTCTGGTACCCAGATTGGTTCCAAGGGTGAGCTTTCTGATCCAGTTCCCAGGTTTCCAGACATGCTCTCTCGTCAAATACAATTTAAAGGCCCTACTGGTTACGTTTCCAGTAAAGAGAGCAATTGTAGTCCCTGCTGCAGTAAGGTAATAGAGATACACAAAATATCACTATTGATGCCTCCAAACAAATATTACTGCCACGCCTTCCTTCTCCCCCTTCTCCTTCTCTTGTTCTTCTTCTCCTTTTCCTTTTTTGGCAGGACTGGGAACTGAACCCAGGGCCTTCACACTGGACTACATCTTGGATCTTTCTACTTTTTATTTTTTTAATTTGGAGACAGGCTCTCACTAAGGTACAAGCTGCCCAAGACTTGCTCAAACTTGCAATCTTCCTTAGCCTCCCAGAGTGCTTGGATTACAGGCATGTGCCACCACACCGGGCTCTAAGAGGCAAGGCTCTGGGTTATGGGTGTCGATACTGTAGGATATTTCATGTACCATTAACAAATACAGTGAAAATGGCCAGCTGCTCCTAACGGCACTGGACAAAGCAGAAAAAGAAAAGAATGAACGCAGGGGTTCAAATTCCCAAGTCAAGCAATACACATATCCCAGTTTTTCTACAGGTACCCTACAAGACAACCTGATGTCTCACACATGCAGGACTGAAATGACGGAGACTAGATTCCGATGCACACCGACCTCCCAACCTCAGTCTCTGCTATTCCAACAAAGGCACTGACTGGGGCGAGCTGACTGCAGCCATCTCTCCCCTGGGTCTCCCCTCTCCATTCTGTCTGACTGTCTCCACCCCTTCCACTCTCCTCTCTCTCTTTGTCTTACTTTCTCTCTCTTGGTCTTGCTTTCTCCCTCTCTTTCCTATTGGTTCTGTTTTCGTAGTACGCATTTGGTGAGATTTTATGGCACTCACAACCAACCCACCTATCACTCTCGAGCTCAGTGCTGGGTTCAAGACTGCCCTGGGGCCCACCCACCTCACACGAAGTGTTTCTTCCCAGGTTGCGGCGGGCCCCGTGAACATGTGTCCTCCACAGCACCCAAGCACCCCTACTGACCGGCAGGACATAAGAAACCCTGTCTAGAATGTGGTTCTGCGGGTTTAGCGTCCTCCGCAGCCACAACTATTCCGACGTTTGTGCCTCTGGGTTCCGGGGGTGCGTGAGGAGGGTGGAGGAGGGTGCCCGCCAGGCAAGGTCAGCAGGCACTGCCCAGGGCTACCATTCCCATGTAGAAGGCACCAGCATCCACACTGGTCACACAGGGACCAAATGCAGTCTGGGGTGCCCTGGGGGGGCAGGAAATCCCAGCACTGCCCTCCAGGGGCAAGAGCGGATGGCCAGGAATCTGGGTTTGGCTGGACAATCCAGGCAAGATATTCAATTTCTGCATTTCTATTTCTCTTCCAGGAAATGAGCCCATACAGCTGCCCACTGTCTAAGTTCTTCTCAAGAATAAACACCGTCCACAGAATTGTGGTCCTGGCTATGTTTTCATCTCCTTATCTGCAAGGTGAGGCTGATGAGGCCTTGTCCCGCTGCCCAGCACGGTAGGACAGGGGCAGTGTGGGTCGCATGAGAGACAGGACACACTGGTATTAGGTCAGGCAGCACAAGAAAACAGTTCTCATTCATACCCTCGCCTAACATCTCCCATCCTAGACACAGAAGCACCTGGTCCGTAGGTGAGGAGGCACAGGGCCTCCCTGAGAGAAGGACATGTCACCTTGTGTTACTGGTACTCGGATTGAACCCAGAGCCTTCACACTGAGCTACATCCCCAGCTCTTTCATTTTTTATTTTGAGACAGGGTCTCGCTAAGTCATTATGTTACTGAGGCGGGGCTGGAACTTGTGATCCTCCTGCCCCAGCCCTCCAGATGCTGGGATTATATATGTGTGATTTTGATTCTTTAACAGCCCACAATGGTAGAGAAGTTTTGGCGTCTGCTCCAGCAGCCCGACACCTCAGAGCCTCTCTTCTGTGTAGAAAAACAATCTTCAGCAGAAAACTCATGCCGTAGGTCACAGGTGTCTTTGCCCTGTTTGTCTGACAAGCTCAAGTTCAAGCCAGCCCTTCATCCTTTAATCATGAGGATAACTGGTAAGAGTTATTATACAGGTGCTTGCCCATATTATCTCATTTAAACATCATCCTCACCCCATGAGATGAGGCTCTATTACTACCCTCCCCTTGCAGTGGAAAACCGAGACCTGGAGATGATAAGCAGGTAGCACAGCACCGTGTGGTTGGTTGGTGCACCATAAAGAGGGTTTGATCAGTGGCAGGATACTGATCTCATGGAACAAACTCTTTAAGATAACCTTCTACTGTTTCCCTCCGGGGTGCTCTGAGAATCCTTGCTTCCAGATGACCCAGGCCTCTGCAGGGCGTAAGCCTCCAGGTTCCACCAGGTTTGCTGAGGAACTAAGCCCCAACAGGCAAAGACCACAAGCATTTCCAACACTAAAATAGCTCGGAAGTGTGACAGTCAGCATTGCTGCAAAGATTCACAGCCTGAAGTTAGATACCAATGATCAAGTCCCACATCCACTCTTCCCCGGCTCTGAGCCTCAGTTTACTGGGCTGCAAAGTTACATAAAATATAGAAATTCTTGCCTGGGCAGGAAAATGTGAGCAAGAGGTGAGCTAGGCTAGGGTTCCTGATCTGCTTGCTGACGCCCGAAGACACTGAAATTCCTTTCTAGCAACTCAGGTGTGTCTAACTGGAAGGAGACCCGTGTGGGCACAAGTAGCCTCGCACCTGGAGCACAGTGGATTCAAAGAGGTCGCTCCGGTGCTCACCTCCAAGACACACACAGCCAGAGGTGACGGGGACAACACAGAGGAACACCGGCCCTGAGCAGGAGGGCGAGAGAGGAAGCGGATGCGGACTTCACACCCTAGCTCCGCACTTCTGTAGAAACTTGAGGCCCAGGAAGGAGTGGGGACTTGGGCCCTGCTGGAGGTCACCTCCACCACTCCACCTATCCCTAACGCAGTCAGCTGGGAGGGCAGACCCTTCCTCACTGGACAGGCAAGCGCTTGAACGTGGGGAAACCCAGGCCAGCAAGGCCTCCATTCAAAACGATGTTAAAATGCTTGTCTGACACGCTAGGTGTTATCGTGAGGAGTGATTGGTAAAAAAACAAAATAAGCTGCCTCGTCTTCTCCTTTCTGGACACTATGCCAGCCATTCCCAGGCTCCAAGAAAGCATCAGGAGGGCTGTAACAGGTGTTCAGGGCTGGGGCTGAGCCCACAGGTGCGTGCCACTCCTCTTGACAAAAAGCCACTCACTGGGTCACCATCCATGGGTCTCCTGGCAAACAACTCACAGCCTGTTCCGAGCAGACTTTATGAGTTTAGGCGATGCCTTCCTACTCGGAAAAGACAACGTCTCTCAACAGCCAGGAGAGGGCAGGTCCCCAAGAGCAGAGCAGCAATCATTTGATGCAAAGCCTTAGGGTCCCCAGGCAGCTCCAAGACCTGCAGCAGAACTCACTGGAGCCATCTGGAAGCCACCATCTCTTGGGACGGGCACACTCACTGGTCACCGAGCAATCTACTCTGGGCCCCGTACTGAGAGACTCGCCAGGGAAAAAGATCCCATAGCCTTCTGGGCTCCGTGTGGCTCACACCCCACGGAGAAGTCCAGATGGAGCTCTGGAGGCCGAAGTGCTCTGTTACTGAGATAAGCACACAGAGGCAGACACAGAGACTAGGGAGAGAATGAGAGGGCGGGAGGGAGACAGGGAGGGAGGGAGGAGACTGAGACAAGAAAAAGAGAAAACCAGAAACCCAGCGAGAAATGGAGACACGGAGATAGAGTTAGAAGCAAAGAGGCAGAACAACACAACAGAGAGAAAAGAAAAACGCAAGGGGCTCTTTGATTACTTACTGCTTTGTCTTGTTTTTTATGTTAATTTGCCTTTTATTTTTACAGTATAATCCAATTCTAGTTTTCCTTTTATCTTAATCAAACTTGGAAAATTTTTATTCTTCAACTGATTGAATTTATAAACAGTGCTGCTACTAAAAGCATTCTGAATGCTTTATTTCCATCGCTCAGGTATTTCCTGAGTAAGATTTTGTTTTTTGAGACAAGGTCTTGCTATGCAGTTGAGGCTGATCTTGAACTCACTAGATAGCTCACGCTGGTCTTAGAATCTCAGTGATCCTCCTGTCTCAGCCTCCAGAGTGCTGGGATTGCATGCATGCGTTACCACGCACAGCTTAGGAAGGATCCCTTCCAGACTGCTTAGTTTAGATCCAGCTATGCCCCCCACCTCAACCAACTCTAGCCCTCAGGTTTTCTGTACGTGGCACCAACTCCCAAGCACGAAACATGCAGTGAGGGGCCATATTCATGCAGCAGGTGACAGCGGGCTCTGCTGCAACCATAACGGGTGAGGTCCTCCAGGCAACGTCCCCTCGGGAAGCACTAAGAGCTATGCTTTGGGGAACTGGTCCCCAAGGACCAGCTCAACGGACCCGCAGTGGTTACAGAGCCCCAGCCGCACGAATGCAGCCACCACTCCCTGACATGCAGTAATTGGAGCTCCCAAACCTGACGGAGATGAGCCCTGGGATAAAAGCTATCCTGCACAGGGCCCTGACTCACCCTGGAGGACAGCACCTCCAACCAGGGTGGGGAGATCCGTTTTGCAAAATAACCCTCCGCGCAGTGGTCGATGGAAACTGACGGAACCTGCACCCATGCTGGGCTTAATTACACCACACAGCTCAAATCCAAGTTTTCTATGAGGGGTACCGGCCTTAGCGGTGCTTCTGCTTTAAATAGACTAGAGCAAGGGCGAAGCTGTGGAACAAAAGGAGGAAACAGGAGCTCCCTGCCCCGCTGGGCTGTAATTAGGTCAAGGGCGGAAGGTGATGAACGTGACCCTCCCCCTCCCCTCCACACCTGCCGGCGGCCACACTCACCCTTTTTCCGGGCCTGGGCGATGACTTCCGCGGCGCTCTTGCTCATCACCTTGGTGATGTACAGCGGGCAGTTGGTCTGGTTGGCGATGGTAATGGACCGATTCACAGCTTCCGCCTCGACCTAAGGGAGAGAACCGAGCATGAGGACCCCAGCCACTCAGCTCTTTACCTCCACCAGCGACTGCCGTGTCCTCTAGGGGCACCAGGGTTCCTCAATACTGGGTAGTTCCAAAGATGGGGTACTTCCCTCCGACCTTTCTCAAAGCGTGGGCATCAGCCTGGGACCACCACAGATGCAGATTCTTGGGCCCCACCCCAAACCCACCACCAGTAGCCAGTCAGTGGGTTGTACGGAGGCCTTGCTGGTGTTTGAGAACCACCACCTGCAGACACTGGCTGATCTCAATCCGGGACACCCGTCCTGCTCTCTTGCTCCGGAGTCAGGGATACAACTTTTGGGCTGGGCTTCAATTGGAGGCCAGCAGCACCCACAAAGCAATGCGTGCTCACGGGGCGGGGAGGCAGGCAGGTGGCGGCTTTCTTTGCACACCAAGGGCCTGTGAGATGTGAATGTGGCCAGCCAATTCACAGTCTAGTGCAACTCTGGTACCACTGCGATGACTGCTTAGTAGTCCAGGGAAGACACCCTGGCTGCTCGAACTGATAATGTGATTTTATAGACAGGTGAAACCGTACTACAGCAGAGCTCTGAAAGTCACTGTGGATTTCTGGGTATCTCTCTTGGCCCAATCCAGGCAGCACACTGTAGTGTGAATTCTTAGAGGGAAAAGGAGAAAAGGCCAATAGAGCCAGCTATACAGCAGGTACTCTAAAGGGATTTCTGCACAGACACCCTACACGCCTGCTCTTTATTAACGGTACTTCAAGCTAGGAGTTCAGCAGAGCTGCGACTTCACAAGAACAGCATGTGAAGCATCTACTTCCCACCCAAGGAGATTTTCGACTCTATCTCCAAGACAGCTCGGCAGAGCTCAGGCTCGGGTTCTGCCCTGGTGTTTCCCACTCAGCTACTGAGAGGATCTAAGACAGCTTCAGTCCCATGGGGCCCGCTCAGACAGCAACCCTGCGAAGAGAGACGTCAGGAAATGCACAGGCAAAGCAAATGGTCTTGAAAGCACTCGCTGAACACCCAAATGTTTTTCATTCCTGGGATAGCTGAGGACCTGCCCTCCCAGCCCTCCTTCTTCCTCTCCTTGCTGAAGAGTCCTGGAGTCCCCAGAGCAAGTGTGACAGCAAAAGAGGCACCATTCTGAGCTCAGTAAGAACAAGAGGTAGGCCCAGGCCTGTGCAGTGTACACTGGGGGGTGTAACGTTCTAATTAAGGGGGACTACAACCCCCCCAACCCCTCATCAGGGGGCTGCTCCTCCCCTGTGGGACTGGTCTTGGGAGAAGAGCTGGGTTCCAGGGGTCTGGGTTTGCTCATTCCCTGGGAATGGAGCTCAAACCCCATCCCCGCCCCAGCCAGCAAGAGGACAAACTAAAACATGAGCTCTTGGAAGAGGAGGTCACTTAAACCCCAATTCTCCACATTCCACCCAAAACCTTTTACCTTTCTGGGTTGATGTGTACATCTCTGATACACAGCATACAGTTTTCCGTACCCCTCGACTCTGACTTAAATAGTATTTCTTTAAAATACTGCAAAAATAAGGTTGCAGTGGTGTGTACACCTGTAATCCCAGCACTGGGCCGGCTGAGGCAGGAGGGTCGGCCATAAATTCCAAGCCTACATAGCAAGTTCAAGGCCAACATCATGAAATACATCGTGATACCTTGTCTCAAATAACCAAAAATAAAATAAAAAGTATTTCAAAAATAGTATGAGAGTTTAAAATCAAATCAGGAATGTGGGAGGTCATCTAGCCCATCTTCTAATTTTACAGATGAGGCAAGAGAAAGCCCAGCAAGGGAGATAACCTACCAGGGACACACAGCAGTGTCGGTACACTGCAGGTCCTCAACAGTCCCCGCCCCCAGCTCACGGCCCATCGCAGTCACCGCATTCTGTGAGGCCCCACTGGGAAGGTCCGGTTCTGTGAAGGATTCTCCATTACCACATCCGAGTCCCTGCTCTCTTCCCAGACATGAGGTCTTACGCTCCCGGCCCACCCATTCTGTCTGCCTTTCTCCCCAGCTCCTTGTGAGTCCCGCTCAGCAGCTACACTGCTCTCCTCACACTGTCCCCACAGGGAGCTGCCCTATGGCCACTCATCCATTTCGGGTAGGTGACTTCTGGAATCCTGCACACCTGGTCCATCTCCCTGGCTAAAACCCAGGGGAAGCCCTAGCAGGTGGTCTCACGTGGTACACTGGGAAGAAAGTAAGCATGCAGTGGCAGGAGAATGTTCTGGAAAGTTTTGGTACCAGTTGGCCATCGCTATGCTGGTTATGGAAAGTTCTGGAGGGCATTCAGAAGTTCAACTGTGCATGTTATTAGCTGCTGTTTCTACACACAGCCAGCTCCTCCCTCTCACTGCTCTCACTCCGAGCAGTTCCATATTGTATTCCTATCGCCCACTCGGAGCTTAACACACAACAGAACCCTCTTGGCAAACTGGAAAATTTTTACCAGGATCCCGGAAGACGCAGCTGGAGCCTGGGGCCTGAAGGTGAACCTCCTTCAGCTGTCCTTCAAGCCCGTGTGACCTCCTCACTTCACCGGGCTGCCCGGGGCTGAAAGGACTCATGGAAGGCTGGGATCAGCGCCCCGCATGACGGGTATCCAGCCCTGACCAGTGAGAATCGCATGGCCCACATGATGGCGCCTTCACAGGGAGCTACTGGGACCCTGCAATTCTCTCTGCGACAACTGCTACAAGGGAAGCCTCCTGGGCTGAGCTGTGGACAAATGGTTTCAATTTTTCTGGTCAAAGGAGCAAGCAGAACAACGCCTCCTGGATAGTTCTCTCCTTTCCAGAAAGCCCAGGCCAGCTTGCTTCCTGTTTGTGTGTTCTGCTCTGCAGACAGCTCTAAAGCCCCGAGCCTTCACCGCCCCTTCATCTCCTGCCACCTCTTTTTGCAAGGAAGAAGCCAACAGTACGCCTCCATCCACCCAGTCCCTGAGGACCTGCTCTGCGCATCTTCCTCTCGTCTGTTCTGAGGCTTCCTTCCAGGAAAGGAAGGGGACTGGCCACTGCACAGGACTCCCTCCTCCATCTCTTTGCCCCGAGCTGCAAGACTTCTCCTCAGTCAGAGCTTCTACCTGAAGCCCCAGCCCCTCGGCAGAAGCGACTTCTGTGAAGAATTTTAGAGTCACAGATTCTAGCTGGGACACGCTGCCCCGCGCCCTCTTACGCTCCCCACCATCCAGAGTGCTATCGGGGGCCAGCCACGGCCCTGTGCCAAGTTCTTCCGCAATTTTAAAAGATTCCATCCACAAGGCCCTGGTGATTTCATTGTGCCCTGCGCGGGCTTATGGTGGGAGAATGCACACTTCCCCTTGTGTGCTTGAGGGATGTAGAAGAGTTTTCTGATCCCCATCGCGTGTTTTAGGGGTTGGCCTTAAGTCAGAAGCCACTAAAACCCAGACTGCAGGATACTACTCCAAAAGCGTTTGTGTCTACTCAAGAAAGAGCGTGGACAGCCAGAGATGGACAGTGCAGCTGTCCAGCTAAGTGAGCCATGATGTCCTGCCCCAGGCTCAGTCCGACACTTTGCTCTGCCTGTGTACACACACACACACACACACACACACACACACACACACACACGACCACAGAGAGACCAGGTCTGTGTCAAAGCAGCCCCATCTCCAGAGGCACAAAGTGGGCTCTGTGTCCCCGGCACAGCGAGGCGCGCGTTCCGTTTGCAGATGTTCACCTCCTCGGGCCGGCTCAGCACGTGTCCCTCGGGGCCTGTGATGCCCAGATCCAAGATCCTCTGCTGCTCCTGAAATGTGCAAAGACAGCCAGGCGGTCAGGGAGCCGCACTTCACGAACCTGGGAGGGCTGGAGGCCTGGGCAGAGAGCACCCTGAGCAAGATGTGAAACGGGCACTGCGGGCCACTCGGTGGGGCCCAAGGCTCACTGCCCCACCCCCAGTCCTCTGAGCAGGACAGATCAATGACACCCTCCCCAAACCACTCAGCTGTCCCCGGGCCACCAAAACCCAGTGCACTCCTGGCGCTGGGCCACAGCACGCGAGCCTGGGCGTAACGAGGCAGTTGTGTCGCAGAGGAGGGATTGGGAACCGGCCGTATGTCCCACAAGTGCCTGGTGTTCAGCAGTGCCCAGCACAGGACTCCAGGCTCTCTGGTGCCCCACTGGGGCACTCAGCTACCAACGTCACCCGGCTTCCATTAGGCTATGTCCCCCACCCTCCCCTCCAGGGTGAAGAAAGAACAAAGAGGGAAGCCTTGTACCTCTGCGATGATGTCGCCGTTTTCCGCGTGGACTTGGGCTATGGCCCCAATATCCCGGATCACACTCAGGACTTCATATATCTGAGACAGAGGAAAGGCGGGATCAGAGTTGGGAGTCTCTCCATGTTCCCAGCCACTTCTGGCAGAGGAACCCCCTCCGCCACTCATGGGCATGGAGGAAGGCGGAGAGGCTCGGGGACCACAAGAGGTTCGCCAAGGAGGCCGAGTGCCCTGCTGGACCCCAGCTAAAGGGCCCAAGGGTCAGATCCAGCGCCTGCTAGGGCACAGGCCCTCGGTGCACCCTCTCCCTATAGGCTGATTACAGCTAACTGAACCTAGCAGCCCTGTCCCGTGCCGCTGAGGGACACACATCCGGTGGTAACCCTCCTGACAGCTGCGGTGGCCGGCTGACGAACAGCAGTGAGCCTGTTGAAAGAGGTCACTTTCTTACCTGGGAATCTGTGAGCTGGAAGCGATCTTTGAAAGCCATGTACACGAGGAAGGAATTTACCCCTACGAGACAGACAAGAAAGAGGTAGTGATAATATCATGGCTCAAAGTGGGAAGTGTTACAAGATGTGTATTTCACCACGGTGACTTTAAAAAATAAAAAAGGCTGCTCCCAAAACAAGTCTGTTGCGACTTTTTAAAACATGAACTAGAAGAGTCTAAGAAGATCAGTAATAAGCATCATTTTTTTGGCAAGCACATTGCCCTGTGATTTTTCAGAATTTTTTTTTTTTTTAAATACGGCTCATTACTTCAACAAGCAGATGTGTCACAGTGCTCATCCTGGCGTCTTACAGGTCTTGCCTCTCAAGGCACCAGACCAAACATCCATGCCCGACATCCATCACAATTTCAAACAATCATCCTGACAACCTCGCAGGCTTGGAGCTTAATTCAAACCACCTGGGGTGCTGGACGCTGCCTAAGTTAAATGCCTCCGGACATCCTGGCCCTGCTCTCCTTGCTAGGCAACAGTTGCCATGGTTACCCTCCAGCCTATTCTGGAGCAGATCCACTCTAAGCATTGAAAGCCAAATCCAATGGAGTCTGGGTATATGCCAAAGGGAGGTCAAAATGTTGCCTATTTTCTTGTTTGTAAAGCTTTGTGCTGGAAAAACTCTGAGGAGACATCTTAAAGTTCAATATCCTAGTTGAAGAGATTTTTCTTCAAACTTGAGACCCACAGAAATTCAGTGATTGGCCCAAGGTCACACAGCTAGTCTGTGGAAGGGTAAAGAAACGAACCTGAGATTGAAGTCTCTCATTCTGGAGCTTTCTGCACAGTATCAATGGATACCTACCATATCTTTATACATTTGTGTCCATCCCAGAGTTTTTTGAAGGGGTGATTCATTTGTTCTTTTTTTGTTTTGTTTTTAGGTTTTTGTTTTCTTAAGACAGTGCCTCGCTTTGTATTCCAAGCCAGCTTTGAACTCTACACAGCCCAAGCTGCCCATGAATTCACAGCGATACTCCTGCTTCGGCCTCTTGAATGTGGAGATTACAGGCATGCGCCACCATGCCTGACCCTCCTGCCTTGTTACTCACTGCATAGGCGCTTCTGTCCTGGCGTTCCAGAACCCTAAATCAACAGGTGCAAGTGACCTAAGAGGCGGAAGCAACTCAAGCAACCACCGACGGATAAAGAGACAAACCAAGGTCTCTGTACATGGTGGAATATTATTCAGCCTCTGAAGGAAATCGGATGATTTCACAAGTGAATGACCCCAGGGAGCTAACCCACAGCTGAGCTCTAGGAGACCACGGAGATCAGGTGCTTTGCTCCACCACCCACACTCCCAGGTGTGTGCTTACAAGAGTCCTAGAGGCTACTTGCGGTAGTAATGGTTGCACCTACCTCCCTGGGAATCTTCCCAATCCCTGGAAATTTTGCAACAGCAAAGACCCCTGAGGTCATCTCCAAAGTGTCTCCTCACCCTCCCTTCTATCCTGGATGCCACGCTTGTGGGAAGAGGCTGCCCCAGCCCTCACAGCTCAGGTGACTGCCTGGGACACTTGTCCTCCCAGGGGACTCGATCTCTCTCAGCGCTCCCCCTCGGCTCCCAGCCTGGCTCAAGAGCCTGGGTACCTCACACCGGTTGGCTGTGAGCGAGAAGAGGCGCAGAAGCCAGGCCTGCCCTTGAGGAAGATGAGGTGACCGCATTGGGTCAGCAGGGGCTGCAGCCCGAAGCCCTTGGTCCTTGCCACGACTTCCAGAATCCAGCTTCCCAGAGCGACACCCATGTATGGACTGAATGGAAACGGGAAACCCAGGCTTGTGCAACCTACCGTGGTCCTTCACCAGCGCCTCCATCTCCTCCTGGATGCCCTTGTGCCACTCGGTGATGTCCACGTGCAGAGAGTAGTCGCAGCAGGACTTGCTGTCGGCCCACTCCCTCCACTGGTCGAAGGCAGCCAGCAGGCTTGTCCCAGGCTCCGGGACCACATGGTCAACTAGGAAGAAGCAGACATTTGTCATCAGTGACAAGAAACCCACAGGCCACGGCCGACAGGTGTCCCCCCACCCCTCAAGCCCGGAGCAAGGCTTCCTGGTTCCCCTACATGACCAGGAGACAGCGATCTCCCCAGCCAGTATCCCAAGAATGCACTTAAGCCGCCGACTACCCAGAGGCAGAAAGCAGAAACTTGGCCCTGGTGGACGCTCTGTGAAAGCACGCATGCACGGCCGATCTGATTTCCCCGCTCGCGGTCCCCAGGGCGCATTTCACGGACAATGAGTCCCATGGACAAAGGCAGTGTCAGATGGCTCACTGAGCAGCCAGACCCTGCTTGCTGCTGATAGCACAGTGAGTGCCCCCAGACAGCCGGGCCCCGGAGAGACTGGACCGTGGCCAGGCACGCTGGGGCTCTCCGAAGCCCGGCGACGTCCCCACCCTCTCCAGCCGCTCCTGCGGCTGAAGCATAATACCACTCTGTAATTGAAGGGGAATCTTTCATCTTAGAGTTCAAAGCGCTCTGAGACTGTGGCTGCCGCTGTGTCATTATCGAGGTAGGCTGATACGGACGACAAAGGACCGTGGCCTCCAGCGGCCCTGGTTCCACCGTTCACCTGCAAGACGCCCCACAAACTACTCAGTCTCCACTGCCCCGGTTTAAATGGGGGTAAGAATTCCTGGCACTTAGGATTTATTACAGGGATTAAATGAGACAGCATGTCCATCAACATTATATTGTTCCCTGACTTAAATCGTCCCAGGGCTTCCCTCATACTCCATGTGAAGATTAAAGTCCCCAAGAAGTCTATGAGATCCCGCCAGCTTGGCCCTGGTCTACCTCTCAAGGGGCGCTGGCATCTCTAACTTGCACTTTGCTGTCCAGCTACTGTCTTTCAGGTGTTACAACAGCAGCCTGCTCCCTCTGGCCACAGGGCCTTTGCATGCACTATTATTACCTCTCATAGGTCTTGAAGAGCCCTCCCCTACCATGATAATGGGCAGTTTACTGGAACTATTACCCATCTTCTTCACAGAAAGCACTAACATACAAATTGACTTGATTTGCCAAGGTTAAATCAAACATGTGCAATAGTAGAGACAAAACCCAGGACTCTAGATGCCTAAAACAATGAATGCATTCCTCCTAAATAAAACATTAGATTTTCTACACCCAGGTAAGCAGTTCTGAGTTAAGAAAATGCTGGGGCAGGCAATGCTAGTGAGTTCAGTTTTCTGAAATGGATCAAATTCTGCAGACATTGCTCAACTGTGATCAGCTGAACTCGGCTTTGAATACATCAGAAATACGGCTATCTGAGACACCACTTACTCTGACAGGGGTATTACAAACTGCACATGCACACTGAGTATCATACCGTGCCCTGTAAGAACGTGCAAGTACTATGTGCCAATCAAAAACGTTTTTGAAAATTTTTAAATACGGCCATCTAAGTGAAATTTTCCTTTGATAGTACTTACTTTTTAACTAAGTATTAGTATAAAACATAAGCATTTGCTTTATGTAATTAAACAAACGTAGACATTTCTAGAATCTGTCATGTGACGTCATCTAACGAAAGTTAAAAATAATGGACACTTTTCACGCAAGCCTATCCTATTGGTAAAATGGGAATGCAGAAAGTGATGATAAAAATTCCAATTTTTCTTTTGAAACCATACCTTCAGGCTCCCCGCAAAACCACAAAAACACCACTTTGTAGCCATCACTTTGGGCGGTCCCTGGCTGCGCCCACCTTCCTCTCTCACTCTTGCAAACCACCCTCCCAAGCGGCCAGCCGATCTTCTGCACCCTCTGAGCAGGTGCTGCAGAGCTGAATTCAAACCATTTGCTGGTCCAGCAGATCTAATCGCCCTGATGCGCTCTCTGTCCCCTACCTGGTCAACCACTGCCACCCTGCAGGTTCCTCACTTCCGTGGCCACCTGGCTGCTGCCCGCAGAAGCCTCTGCACAGCCATGCCCCTCTGCAAAGCCACCCCCTTTGCTGCTCCCCAGGCAGTGCCGCCCTCCTCAGAGCAGCAACTGGATGTTCAGATATGGGAAGAGCTCCACAAATGTCCTAATGACATGGAAGCACGTTCCCTCTGCCCTTGCACATCCCACTGGGCAAGCTCAGGCAGAGAACCAAGAGTGATCCAGTCATCCTCCCGAACTGAGAAGCCCTGGCTCCAAGACCCTGCCGCTGCCACCTGCCCCAGGTCTCCAGACTCCACACAGGCTCAAATCCCCTGTGTTAAAATCAGCAGCATACTTACAAAGGACCTGTGCACGTTCTCCTGGGGTTTGTTTTGCTGTTTTGGGGGGGGGGGTACTTTTTGGTGCTGAGTACGGAGCCAGAGCCCCTAAACACGCACTCCACCACTGAGCTACAGCTACACCCCAGCCTCCTCGCGTATACTTTACACCATCTCTAGATTACATATGACACCTGACACGACCCCTACGCCTCACACCTGCACGTGGAGTCAGCCTTAGTGCTTGCTGCAAAGCATATTTCAGTTTTGCTTTCTGGAACTTTTCAGGAACTTTTTTTGGCAAACATTTTTCAATCTGGGGCTGCTTGAATCCACAGCTGGTGGTTCTGCAGACACAGCACCCGCAGGTACACAGCACTCTGGAACCCAGCACCTGTCCCGCTCAAGCCCACGGCCCTGCTGGCCCCCTCAGCCTCTCCCGCCTCCGTCCCCTACGCTGGCAGACAGGACACCCCTTCTCTGCACGGGAAAAAACCCCCTTCTAAGAAAACAGCAACTTTTCTGAATGCTGTAATTTTGCTTTAAGTAGAAAATTACAAAACTACTGAAAATCTTACGGAAAATTAGTATCATATCCAGTCCAATCAACACCACCCTCCCCATGACCCAATACTCAGATTTGCCATATTTTCTCAAAGTCGTTATCCTATATATTATAGTCTGTTTCCATAGTTACAGGCTTCCTCCTTCCAAAAATGCTTTCAAGTGAAATAAAAGGATATTTAATATATAAAACTTGATAAACCAAAAATCAGACTAAAAGATGAAAACAAGGAAGCAAAAACACAGTGGGACACAGAGCGAATGAAGCATGGTAGGTATGTTTACGTGTGTTTGTGTAGACATGTCTGTATGTACTGAATGCATGTATGTTTGTGTGTGCATATGTATGTGTCCAGAGATAAAGAGCATTCATGGTTGTACACTGCAAGGTTTAAAGCTAGACTCCCCAGCCAATGTAAAGAAAGAAGCCCAATATGTTCTGCAGACCTACTGTTTGGGATTAGAAAAACACCACACAGGGCTGGGGATATAGGTCAGTGGCATAAGCACCTGCCTGGCAAGCACAAGGTCCTGAGTTCAATTCCCGGTACCAAAAAAAAAAAACAAAAAACAAAAGAAAAAACATACAAACCAGACATAGTGGCACACATCTGTAATCCCAGCACTCAAGAGGCTGAGGCAGGAGAATCATTGTGAGCTCAAGGCCAGCCTGAATGACATAGTGAGACCCTGTCTCAAAGATAAAATCTCAAAGAAATACAAGGACCACTGAGGCTAAGACCCCATGCTCATATCTACTGAATAATCTTTTTCCCCTTGTTGAAATATGGTGACTCTTTTAAAATGTTATTACTATTAGAGAAATATTTTAAATTTATATATAGTACATTACAGAGGGAGAAGCCCAGGTTTTGTCCCAGGAGTGTTTTCTTTGGTTCCATTTATCTCTGCCAGTAGTAAATATGGCAGCTTCTTGGTATATTTTAATGTTTGGTCATACAAGTTCCCCTTTGTACCTCTTATTCTTTATTGTTACTTTGGACAGGTGGTGTGAGGGATGGAACCCAGGGCTCATGCATGCCAGGCAAGGGCTCTACCACTGAGCCCTTCAGTCTTATGAGAAAGAGCTCATTTTCTCCATAAGATTTGCTTCTCCTCCCCTCCAAATAAGGGACAGGAGAAGACCGCAAGCAGGATGACCACCCCTCCATGAAGCCCAAGCAGGCACCTGCTGCAGCTCCGCCTCCATTAGCCCTCCCCAGAGTGGGAGGGACCACTGCCAAGGACACTGGAGGACCAGTGAGAGGACTCAGACCCCAAATCCCGAGGGAAGGGAGAGCGCCAGGTGCCGCACTCCCCAGACTCCAGGATGCACAAGAACGGCCTGGACTTCTTACACAAAAGCAGGTTCTTGACTATGGGTCCAGGATGGGACCAGGGAACCTTTGCTTTTAAATGCAACCTGGGACCTGCCGCAGACCAGCGTGAACACAGCTGCTGGATGCTCAGCCCTTCCTGGCTGCCTCTCCACCAAGCGGCATTCACACCCACAACAGCATCACGACACACCACACACATCAGGGTTCCCGGCTGCGGGGCCGTCCATGGCTTCTTCCCACTCGCAAACCCAGTAAATACCCGCATCAGGGGCCCCTGAAAACTCAGCATGCAGATGAGGCCAAGCTTGGCATGGACAGCCACACTTCCCTCAGCAGCTCATGACACTTGGGAACGTGTCCCCGAGAAGCCGCACATGTTTTCCCACAGCCCTCTTCCACCAGAGCACTCCTGGGAACAGCTGCTCCCCGGGAACAGGGCAGAAGGTCACACTGACTTCCGACTTCCGGAGGGAGCAGCATGGGCCTGGAATGCACAGCCCAGCCTGCCCGCCTCTCCAGGGCCCTTCCAGAGCCACCTGGCCCTGCCCAAGGGACAGCTTGGCCACTGGCATGTAGGAAAGTGCAGGTAAAGCACCTGCCACTCGCCCTGGCTTTTGCTCCCTCCCTCGAGAAGCACAGCTGGAACCTCCACTGCGGCAGCCCGGGAACCTGCCCGTGACGGACCAAGAACACGCCCTGGGACAACGGCCTGCACTGCTGTCATCAAAACTCCGCCACCTATTTCCAGAGCACCACTGCACATTGTTGATGCATCATCCAAAATCCAAAATCCAAAAATGCTCAGAACCCGAAACGTGATTCCACAAGCAGAAGATTCCAC